GCGGCGGAAAAGAAAAGGTTAGAAGCGTTCGAAATGTGGTGTTATAGGCGGATGATGAGTATATCGTGGGTAGAAAAGGTTAGAAATGAAGAGGTATTGGAAAGAATAGGAGAACAGAGGACTTTATGGAAGTCAATAAAAAAGGTTGGTATGACACGTTCTCATGCATGAAGGGTTGATAGAGACATATTAGAAGACAAAATAGGAGTTAAGAGGAGTAGAGGAAGATCTAGGTTAGATCAAAGTTCATAAACGGTTAAGGATGTGGTACGTTGTAGTTTTAGGGAAATGTAAAGATTAGCTCAATCAGTTTTAGGACTGACGACCTTATGATGATGATGGTGTTGACCAAATATTATTTGAATATGCAAATACCGCTTGATCGTCCTGTCTACATATTTGCTTTCAGTTTTTGGTTTTGTTAACAAAGATAAAACCGTAACTGTTGACAGAATTACGTGGTTCAGGTGGCATTTGAGCTTTGCGATATGATTCCCGGAACGCGTGTTAATGTTTGAAAGGGAGCAGTTGGCAACATTCCTCTAGTATATGATAATGTTAATGGATTGAAGAGTGCTGTCTAGTATTTAACAAAATTACAAACATTCGTTCACAAGCGATAAACGTTAAATGTAACGTGAGTGACGAAATAGCTTTGGGTTCAATTAAATTTCATGTTTCGTTGGAAATAACTTATATAATAACCTTTAATCGGTAGCTTTTTTGCACAAAATCACAGGAATATTTAATTATTTTATAAATAATTAGCTGATACTGGCCCTCGTGGTGTTATCATTTTGTTCGCGTCGCGCTGATGAGATCCAAAAAGATCGAAATCGCGATCCGCGTCTGGCAGTTTCTACAGAATACAGACCACTTCGAATTATTTTAAATCAAAATTTAAAGTTCATTCAGAGATATAAAATATACAAATTAACGTGTATTCTTTTTACAAGAACTGCATAACGTTAAGACATGACGAGATTGTTCTAAATTGAAGTAATAGAGAAAGTTTGATGAAGATTCAAGCATATATTCGCTATTCATAAATGATCAGGTCGATTACAATTGCATTTTTAGGGCTCCGTACCTCAAAGAGAAATAGGAACCCCTAAGGATTACATCGTTGCCTGTCTGTTTGTCTGATTGTTAATACCCTTTTTTTCAGGAACGCCTAAAAGTACCAATTTGAAATAAATACCAAATACTCAGGTCTGCAATCCCCTGGAGATGTAAAATAATTAATTTTCTAAATCAACGCAATCAAAAGATACCTGTAGGGAGCGTGAAAAATGGTAACTATAGTTGGGACGTTTAAAATTGGCATGGTCCACAATAAAACTGTTATATTTACTTTCAACTTACTAATTAGACTGGAGCGGTTGCTGACAGAACGTTTACTTTTACTTACGACAGACGTTATAGAGAATATTGTAAACATAGAAAAGAGATGTCAGGCAGGAATTGCAGCGGACACTAATAAAGAGAAGGCAGTAACATTACACCAATTAATAGAAAATTAAAAACAGAAAGAGATGCAGACAAGCAGAATTTGAGCATGTTGCTAACATCGGACTTTAAGGATGTTTGGGAGGTACAATCGAAGACAAGAGCACATAAAATTAGAAACTCGTGATTAATTAGGTTTTGCAGCATATCATGAGGTAAATAAATACTATCTATACTAAAAAAAAGTACACAGTTTGAGAGAAAATTTGGAATTTGACCAAAAACTTTGAATAAAATAAAGTAAAAATAACGATTAATATGGAAAATTTTTAACTGACTTTTGGAAGTGAATATGCCTTGATTTCAACTTCCAAATAAAAAAATATTTAGTTTCAATCTCTATTAATAATGAGGGCAAAACTTTTTAATATGT